CAAAAAAAAGCTTCCTACAAACAGACGCATCCAACTACAGGGTAGGCGCAGCTCTCCTACAAAAAGACGAATCTGGAAAAGACCAAGTGATAGCGTATGCAGGTAGAACTTTGTCACACGCAGAAAAAAACTACAGCGTAATAGAAAAAGAACTTCTGGCAGTTGTCAATTGAAAAAATTAAACAGTTCATAGAAGAATACAGTATCTCTTTCATCACAGACCATCAAAACCTGAAAGACCATTAAAAACTCATCAGGTAGGATAGCACTTTGATTTTAACGTCATATACAACAGAGACAACCCAGTACGTCCTAGTCGACGCACTTTTCAGAAAACTAGTAGATTCAATATGCATAATGGACACAGTATACATACAAACAAACAAACAAACAAATGGTACGATAGGAGAATTAAAGAAGTAAAAACGAAACCCAAACTTTTTCCGGATTATACTATCAAAGACAACCATCTTTAGAGGCATTTCAGTAAAAGACATCAACTCATCGCAGAAAATCACAAACAAACGACAGCAGGACAATTAGGCATAGCGAAAACGACAACCCATCAAGCAAGGAAATATTACTGGCCAGTTATGTTTGAAACACATCAGCCTTCGTGAGAAACTGTAAAACTACTAGCGTTACAAAACCCCGCAACAACAAACTCCAGAACTCATGCACTTAACGAACATTCCCACACAACCATGGCACACAATCTCCACAGACATCATAGGAGCACTATCAAACATCCAGTTAAAGAAATAATTACATTTTGGTTTTCCAAGACACATTCACAAAATGGTTAGAAGCCATCCGAGTTAGAAGAACAACAACAGCAAATACTATTTGTCAAAACTTAAAAATAAAATCATCAGAGGTTTGGCTGTCCCGAAGAAGTGGTCTCAGACAACGCTAAAAGATACGAAAATAATTAAAAAAGAGACATTCCGCCTTATTATCCTTAAAACAACCCAGTAGAACGTACGAACAGAGTAATAAAAACAATGGTAGCCCAGTTCTGCGACAATAGCCACAAAAAATGGGACGCAAACTTACCACACTTAATATTTGCATACAACTCAGATAAAGATGGCCACGAATTATATCTTCCCGATAAGGTTCTAGATAACACACAGTCGGCACACTTACCAGAAAGAGCAGATAAATGGAACAATTTAAGAGAAACACGTTCAAGCTTGTATAAGTAAACCTCGCAAAAGCGTTCACAATTTAAAAATACTACCATAATTTAAGAACAAAGATTGAAGGCCCAGACTGATTAGCAAAGTAATGAGAATATAATACAATAATTTATCTAACGCAGCAAAAATTCTCCAAACCATACACAGGGATACAAAGGGATGCACGATATATGAAAAGCATCGATATATCGAAATCGTAACATCGATATGTCCAAAATATCGTTAAAAAAAATATTGATGGATCGATGTTAATTTAATAAATGAACGAAGAAATGTAAACAACATTTTGGGTCACTCCAGGTCACTTACTTTGTAATATTTTGAAGAAAACTGACACATCAGCATTGGTACTGGAATTTTAAATTAGAAGGCGGCCGAAATTAGATAATGCGTTTTCCAGCTCTCAGCAATTCATAATTTCATAACTAAAAACCAGTGTAACATTGGCAACAGCGGAGGGATACAAAGTAAAAAATCATGGTAATTACTAGATCCACTGAGTACGAAGCAGGCATGGATACTTCAGGCCCACCAGCATGGTTTTTGAAGATGGAAGAGGAAAAGGAAAGGCAGAGGAAAGAAAAAGTGGAGGAATAGGAGTTTAGAAAGCAAGAAGAGGAGGAAAAGGAAAGGTGTAGGAAGGCAGAAGAGAACGAAAAGAAAAAGCGTAGGAAGGAAGAAGAGGACGAGGAGGAGGAAAGATCTAGAAAGGATGAAGAAAAAGACAAGGAAGAGAGGCGTAGAAAAGAGGCGGTTGAAATTATGAATGCTTTGGTGCAAATCCAGATAACCTTCAAACAAGAGGTTGGTCAGCTTAAAATTAGAGTAGATCTGTTAGAGCAACAACAAGAGCATTAAAACGCTAATTTAGAACAGCAGCAAGAGCATTTAAAAACTAATTTAGAACAACAACGTGATAATTTAAAACAACAGGAAAAGGCTAGAGTAGAGTTCGAAAAGCAAATTAGAACTGAACTAGTTGAGTTAGGAAGAAGAATTCGTATCCAAGCTTCGATAAGCAACATAGAAACTAAAAACACTACCTCGTCCTCATCTATAACCGAACCAAGCCATATCCAAAACCCACTTTCACAAAGCCATACTAGCAAGACCATTAAGCCACTCACGTTTGACGGTCAGACAACATGGGAAACGTATCGACTTCAATTTGAAGCTGCAATTGGAGCCAATGGCTGGACCGAGGAAGAGATGGTGGCTTCATTGATAGTATCACTGCACGGACAGGCAGCAACCGTTTTACAGTTACTTCCCCAAGGGTAACCCAGTTCTTCATCTCTCGTCCAAGCGTTGGAGACAAGATATGGCCAGCAGTATTTGAAACGGGTATTCCAAGTCCAGCTAAAGGTTTGCAGTCAGAAACATAGTGAGAGTCTACAGGAATTCAAGGCCGATAAAGAACGATTGATTCATCTGGCCTATCCACAGGCGCCCAAAGATTTCCAGGAACAAATCGGCATACAGGCATTCGTTGATGGACTACAAGATGTGGAAATGCAGCAAGCCATTTGTCTACAACATCATAAGACGCTGAGGGAGAAAACTAATTGCAGCACTGGAATATGAAGCGGTAAAACTAATATCCAGATCTTCTCACGCAAAAGCGAGAGAAAGGAAAGGAAAGAAAGGAAAGTTAGGAGGCTAATACTAATGCTATCCCCCGACCTACTCTCTCGCTCATCTGAAATATTCTGCAAAATATGCAGCGAAACAGCCAAAATGGAAGCAGGAGATGCTTCAATTGTAAAAGAATCGGACACCTTCAAAGAACCTGTAGAAGCACGGCTCGTTCTATAAATCGAAAATCAGGGAATGAGGCTGGAAAGTCACATAAATCAATCTTACGAAGCCCGTCACGAAGTCCAACAAGAAATAGTCACAGCAGTTTTGCGTCCCGAAGAAGCCAATCATTAACACCCAGCTTTCTAGCAATAATCAGGAAGTAGAGCATCGTAGAGGACATCTCCATAGCAACGCAGACATTTTCTCCAGGCGACCATGTTTAGAACGAGAATGTCGGTACAGTAAGGGGCTCGGAGAACGGAAGGAACTGGTTGATAAAGTTACTCTTCGGGTAACCACTATCAAACTAGAGGGCGACGAAGAAGAAATCACCCTTGAAAGCCTGAGAAAGGGACAGAAGAAAGACAATGACTTGAAGGTTGTCCGAAACGCTTAAAAATAAAGTCACACCTACTTGGCAAGAGATATCCAATGATTTGAAGGTTGTTCGAGAATGGTTTAAAAATAAAGGTATACCTACTTATAAGGGATAGCCAAATACAGTGGAGCTATTAAAGGGTACTGGACTCAGTGGAATTCCCTGTATCTTCACGATGGCCTATTGCACCGGAAGTGGGAGAGCCCCGATGGAGTACATGTAACCCGCCAAGTGGTACTGCCGAAATCACATGTCAGAAGAGTGTTAAAGGAGCTTCATAGCAGCCGTTCGGAAGGACATTTTGGTACTAAAAGAACACTAGCACGAGTTCGAGAAAAATTTTATTGGGTCAATTGCCGACGAGATGTAGCGGATTGGTGTAAAAATGTGATGCATATAATGGCAGGATAAAGGTCTATGGATTCGCTTGGGAGCCACTAATGGCAATACCGAGAAAGCAGAAGCTAGAATCGACGGGCATGCCACAGATACACATTTTTGGAGAGGCAACCCAGTATGGCTGTGCAATTCCAAGTACCGAGGAGGACCTTGTCAGAAATTTCAACGGAACTGGGAAGGCCCCTACACCGTCCTTAAGGAAAATCAACGACCTGATCTGCCAAGGTAGTTCACATTGGAAAATTAGCGTCATGCCGTGGTCCAGATCCTCCCCGTTAGTTCCAACCAGGTCCCAGTAATCAAGTTATTCGGGGCGAATAACTAGAAAGGATGGAGCAATGTTACGCAGCACCCAGCAGCATGATGCGGTAGTCATGATTAAAGGTTCGAGTAAAAGAAGAAAGGGGAATATTCGAGAAATGGCATTCCACGTCAAGAAAAACCCATACATTTCGAGAAGTCAGTCAGTTTTATGATAGACGTTATACGTTAATGTAATCAGTTGTATATTGTTAAAGTTATATTTTAGGTTTCTAAACTTTTTATGAAGAATAACTTTTTTTTCCTAATATTATTAATAAAGTTTTTCACATGCCGCCAGCTTACGTAGACAGATTTCCCAGCAAACACTACCTAACTATATACTTATTTAAATTAAATGTTCAAAATTTTACCTTTTTGTAAATTTATGTAAGTAATATAAAATCTTATTTCTAAAATATGTATTTGATGCTTAATATTTATTGAAACCCCTTAATGCGGATCTGAAGTATTCAGCCCAGAGGAACATGGCGCTTTATGTCAAAATGTTAATAAATATTTACTGCTGAAAACGAATATATTTTTTATCTCTCATAACATTGGTACTTGTATTATAAGTATATACAATTTTTCAAGATACATCGTGGTATTTTGAACTTAAAATTAAATAACTGGAACACTTTAAATTACTAAAATACCAACAAATAAATCAAAAAACAGCTGTCAATGGTGATTGAACTCAGGCAGAGGTGATCGTTGAATGGAAAAATCGGAGCAATTCGGGTGGCGTCATGCAAACAATGATTTTCCATTGGTGGGTTACTTTGGGTTAAAATAGACAACATGCAAAGTGTGCAATGTTACATCTTCGGTCTCTTTAATCTAAGGTTTTATAGAATTTAAAAAAAATCAAACATAATTATGCAAGACCTTTATACCTACTTAGAAAATTATTTCAGGTTGAATACAGTTATGGATGCTGACAAAATTCTAGTAATGGATGGAGGTACAGTTATAGAATTCGATCATCCGTATATTCTATTACAAAACAAAGAAGGTGTGCTAAGAGAATTGGTCGATGCAACAGGAGTAGCAACGGCTAAATATTTGGAATTAATTGCAAGAGAGGTACCTAAATAAAATGTCCAAGTACACATACATAAATACCATTAATTCTCATGAAATGATAAAATCCTTGCTTAAAACAAATTTAATATTAAATAATAGGCACATACTTAAACAACTTTTTGATTGATACAAGAAAAACATATATATAATTCACACCCTTATCACGCATCACTATTTCTGCTAACTATATTTTTTTTACCAATTTAAAATTTTTTAGTAATCAAGTTATAATTCTTATTAATAATAATAATAATAATATTAATAATAAGAATTATAACTTGATTACTAATAATAAGTTATTATTATTATTATATATATTTTTTTAATTTGGTGTTATCGGCGTCGACTACTACGGCCATTAGCCTTATTATTATTATTATTATTTTAGTTATTATGTATACCTTAATTAAGATTTCTTTTACCTACTACGTTTTGGCAATTTCACTATTTAATCAAAATTGGCATTTCCCATGCTCGACAGTTTTAATGGGGTCAAATATTTATTTACATTGAAGTTACAATACATGTTTGTGTATTATTGTAAAACTTTTATATTATTGTTATGTGTGAATAAATATTATTATTATTATTATTATTATTATTATTATAAAAACCCGGCATATTTAAATCGAAAATAAAGAATTTTTTTAAGATCTTAATCATTCTGCAAAATGAACGTTTCGAGATCTTAAACATTAAAACAGTCTTAATGTCACATAAGTAATGTAAATGTAAGCTAAATTGTTAAATAAATTAGAATTGTGAATTTTAATAGTGCTTAATTATAAATAAATTATAAATAAATTGTAAATAAATTATAAATAAATTATAAATAAATTATAAATAAATTATAAATAAATTATAAATAAATTATAAATAAATTATAAATAAATTATAAATAAATTATAAATAAATTATAAATAATTTATAAATAAATTATAAATAAATTATAAATAAATTATAAATAAATTATAAATAAATTATAAATAAATTATAAATAAATTATAAATAAATTATAAATAAATTATAAATAAATTATAAATAAATTATAAATAAATTATAAATAAATTATAAATAAATTATAAATAAATTATAAATAAATTATAAATAAATTATAAATAAATTATAAATAAATTATAAATAAATTATAAATAAATTATAAATAAATTATAAATAAATTATAAATAAATTATAAATAAATTATAAATAAATTATAAATAAATTATAAATAAATTATAAATAAATTATAAATAAATTATAAATAAATTATAAATAAATTATAAATAAATTATAAATAAATTATAAATAAATTATAAATAAATTATAAATAAATTATAAATAAATTATAAATAAATTATAAATAAATTATAAATAAATTATAAATAAATTATAAATAAATTATAAATAAATTATAAATAAATTATAAATAAATTATAAATAAATTATAAATAAATTATAAATAAATTATAAATAAATTATAAATAAATTATAAATAAATTATAAATAAATTATAAATAAATTATAAATAAATTATAAATAAATTATAAATAAATTATAAATAAATTATAAATAAATTATAAATAAATTATAAATAAATTATAAATAAATTATAAATAAATTATAAATAAATTATAAATAAATTATAAATAAATTATAAATAAATTATAAATAAATTATAAATAAATTATAAATAAATTATAAATAAATTATAAATAAATTATAAATAAATTATAAATAAATTATAAATAAATTATAAATAAATTATAAATAAATTATAAATAAATTATAAATAAATTATAAATAAATTATAAATAAATTATAAATAAATTATAAATAAATTATAAATAAATTATAAATAAATTATAAATAAATTATAAATAAATTATAAATAAATTATAAATAAATTATAAATAAATTATAAATAAATTATAAATAAATTATAAATAAATTATAAATAAATTATAAATAAATTATAAATAAATTATAAATAAATTATAAATAAATTATACTGATTTAAATTAATAAACATACGTTACAATACTTTAATGTGGATATTAGCACAAAAATACATATTAATTGAGTTTTTAAAATGGAATTTACCATGTTTATTTACAAGGTCTTAATTTTACTTTTTTTTAGGGATTGATTGGGCAAATAACTGAAGATTTGCTGAATCGCGTTTTTTTAAATACCAAGAAACATTAATTATTTTTGTTATTAAGTATGATAATAAGCCTGAAACATAAAAATTACTTAAACTCATTATTTCGGAAGCACCAAGATGTTTAGATTAAATGAGTTAATGATCAATTATGCAATGTAATTATGTAGTTAATCAAATAAATATATGAATTTAACTTTACTGGATGTTTATCTATCTCTAAATATATCTCTAAATTACTTTCTTTCTAACAAAAATGTGGAAATTAAAATATCTTTTGTATTTTTTAAGGCATACCTTAGCAATCTTTATTGAAGAATTAACCCTATAAACTTATTCAGCAATGTCATCAATCAAAAGAAACGTTCTGAAAAATAATTTTTACCTGGATATAACTATGAAGATACGAGAGATAAGGTGGCGAATCGGCATAATTTCTTTTACAATTTACCGCAAGGGCGCTGTTAAAAAATACATGGCGTCTTATGGGAATTTTACATAATTTTGTGAAAATAATAAAAATAAACTTGTATAATGCTAAATAAAGCACAGAAAATACTGTTGCATTTAGTTCTAAATAAATTTTGCATGTTTTATTTGATAAATTATTTAATTTTATCTATACAAAATTCAAATTAGGTAGGCATAACCATATTCTAAAAGTACAATTTTGTGGCTAATTTTTTTATTGTTATGATAAAAACATAAAGGGACATTTGGAAATATACATGGTATTGCCTCATTCTTTAATTTCGGTCTTCCCCTTTTTATTTTGCTCACAGTACCATCAGTATAAAGGGTCTCATAATATTTGGAAATTTCTTCTAAAAAGTGTAACTTGCAAATAGCATCATCTCTAGAAACTGCTTTAATGGCCTGAGGAATAATATGCTGCCACTGTTCTAAACGTTTAGGATCCTATAAAAAACATTTACGATGATAAAATTGGGGTTCAACAAAAAATAACACTAGTAACTCTTCATCTCACATTACAACTCTGAAAAAAAAAACATTTTCTTTTCTTGTTAGTAAATGTAATGTATAATTATTATTGTTTGTAAGTCAGGATTATATCATAGAAATTTGTAATAAAATGATTTCTCCTTGTGTTTTCTTTAGTTTTAAAATCTGATTTATATTCTGTTGTATAACCTGGAACAAAGTAAATCTTCATTTGATGTTTTTGTCAAACATGTTACTTGTACTTAGGTACGTTTTTCACAATATTTTGTTTCTTTTCACCAATTTTTTCACGTTATTTCAAATCGACTTACATATAATATTAACGGCACTGACGTTCGACCTTCCAACTACAGTCAATTTGGCAAACTTCATCAAAAGGATGGAAATTTAAAATTTGGCCATTTCCGATTCGCCTCCTTCTCTCTAGTCTTCATAGATGTAACTAATGTCAAATGTAACTGTAGATTGGTGTATCAAGAATACCAAGTATATGACATTAATTACATTATAATACCAAGAATTTAATTTTATTATTATTGTTAAACCTTAAATACTCTGAGGGTGTGAAGGTACAATACAATAAATATTTTAAATATAGCATATATTGGGGTCTATTCTGTAACAATTCCTTTATATTTAACGGCCTTTAAAAATATTTTCTTCTTTAATTCTGTCATTATTTAAACGGATCTTTAAAATACATTAGAGGACTATCTTAAAGAAATCTGTTTAAATGACAGAAGTAAATTAACGAATACGAACATATGTTTAAAGGCCGACAATATTTTTAAAAGCCGTTAAATATAAAGGAATTTTTACAGATTAGACCCCATTATAGACAAACCGTCTAGGATTCAAGATTAAGAGGAAACCGGACACACACAAAACTGCGATTACTTCTAGATTTGTTATTTTTTATTCGATATTTATGAAAATTCAGATAACAATTCGGAAGTAATAATTGTTTCCGTGACAGTCCTTGATTTTTTTGTAAACCTTCGAAACGTATTTTTTTTAACTATTTAATCGACTTTTGGGAAAACAATTTTCTCCTCAAAACTGTACTAAACCTGCAATATTTTGCCGATTTTGTTTTTTTTATATATCAAGTGTAATTTAAATGAGAAGTATTCCCACCTTTTTGTATTAAAACTCCGTAAGGTGCTGCCACCGCTTATTTTAACCTGTTTGCTTATTTTCAGTTGCACATTGTGATCGAAGGGTTACCAGAGGCGCGCGTCGAATTAGTTATTTGTTTTATATACGAAGAGATCATAACATTTTTATCGATTTAAGCGCTTTTGAGTGACTATGGGTAGAAGAAGTTTTGATAAAGGACATTTAATGTTTTGTGCTAAACGGAAAAGTCGTAGAAATATAATGAAAGCGTGAGTATTTTATTTATAAAAGCAATATTTAGTTATAATTTTCTTCTTGAAAAGTAAAATATAATTTATATTCCAGCTATTATGAAAATCGGAGATTGCAAAACATTGTTCAGCCTTTAACTGAATTTCAGAATGTTGAGGAAACCTGTGCTGGGTAAGTCGTAAAATAAAAGTTTATCTAAAAATTTTAGTGCCGTTTTTTAAAATTTAAATTCATATAGAAGAATCAACTATTGTGTAATTAACAAAAAATAGTTTGACATTTCAATATTTTCCTATAAACTTTAATAGAAAAATAAGTAGTTAAAGTTTATGAGTTTTTCTCGAATTGATTTGGCCATTATTCATTTTAAGTTATAGAAAAATAGTTGGGGAAGAACCATATGATAAATAAATTACAAATATTTTTTTACAACTGCTTGCTTCCGGAATTAGTCGATTTGAGATTTACAAGAGGATTACCAATAAGAGACAATCAACTAAACGAACTAATTAGTAACCAAACAAAATATTAGTTTTGTACAATTGTACTTTTTATTTTATAAAAAAAAGCGTAATAAAATAATTTATTTATTGTACAAGTAGGTATATATATTTTTTGGCTTTGGTATGTATAAGTTATAAGCTATAAATAAAAAAAAACAAGAAAGAAAATACACTTTTATTGCTGGAAGGTCTCAAGTTCTCGAAAAACGCAGAGATAAAGGTACTGCTCATTATTATATATCATTATATAGTAGGCGGTGGATTTTAGTTCACTTTTTTGTTTAATTTTGATTCTTTCAGAATATCTTAGGTCCAATATGAACCTAACATAACATACCGATATTTATTTCTTTTCTGATTAAAAAAAAAAATCAGTTAATCCCTTAATGAGTATTTGTTCTATCTAAAAGGATAAGTACTATTTTGTAGTAGTAGGTACTTAAGAAATATAATATATATAATACAAAAATACAATATGATTTTTTTGGTTTAACAATAGTATATTATGCAACGATCATGTAATGATGGTTATTAATACACGAGCATTAACCGGGATACGAAACGAGCCAAAGGCGAGTTTCGTATGGTTTATGCGAGTGTTTTAATAACCATTACATGAGAGTTGCATACGCTATTTTTTCTACACCCGATAAATAATCAAGACCTATAAATATTATATTTATATTGGTATTGAACACAATAACAGTAATTACTCGTATTTCTATAAAAAATTCTACAAAATTGTAATTAATGGTATTACTTCAGGTATTGGTATTTCCCTAGATTTTTGCGGTAAAATATTTTGTACTGTATTTTCTGCTTTCTCCGATATGTGTGGAGGAGTCTTCTATATCGCTAATATCAGACATTTTAATATTATAATTATCGAAGTTTAGCTACCTACGAAAATTTAATACGTTTTGACAACTAAAATAATTACATAGGAACCTAGGACAAACGTCAAACAGCATGCTTGATTGAAAAATTGTAGGTTTCTATTGATTAAAAATCTGTATCGTAATGAAAAATCTGTATCATAATGGGTATCATTATGAAACGGATTATGGGCATATAAGTGCATTATTATAATACGGGTGTAGAAAAAAATATTTAATAAATAGTTACACGGCAAGAAAATATGTTGCGCCTATGAATATGCACTCAGCCAAGCGACGCAAGCTACAGACATACGTTGGGTTTAGTTCTCTTACTTATCCTATTTGTAACTGCAATAACATACGTCTATTATTACAGAGAAAATAAATTCGCATTTGGGCTGTCAGCGCGGAACGAGACGTAGAGGGTAAGGCAGGTAGAGGTGAATTTTGTTTATCACGGGAGCTCCGGTTTCCTCTTAACCATGGTGGAAGAATACAGGTGAAGCGGTAAGCGGTACAAAATTTGGTCAGTCTTGCGCATGACGTCACCTTCGGAGCATATTTTTGTTTTGCCTATGTCTCCAATGTTAAAAAGCGACTTTTAAAGTTATTCTAATATTTTCCTGGTAGTGTTTAGAAGTTTATAGATATATTTATCTTAATATTTAATATCATTTCTATATATCAATAGGCCTGTTTAGAAATTATTAGTACGTATTATTAAATTAATTTCTAATTAAGTTGGTAGTGTAATTGATATAAAGTTAGGTTATGTAACATTTTTGTTGTATTTTAAAGATAAAAAAAATAGTTTCTATTCATTATTGTTATTTTAATATATCATTATTATTATTATATTATTGGTACATTAAAATCTACTATATTTTAGGGTGTGTAGTTACTAACAAAATGCCAGGTTGTGCAGTGTTTGGCAGCAAGAACTATTCAAGAAAAACAAAGGCAACAAATAATAAGTATTTTGGATTTCCGAAAACAGATATAGCCAAAGCCTGGGTCAACGGTTGCGGGTGAAAAGATACAATTAATTTGAAAAATGGCATACTTTTTGCAAACCTAATTTGAATATGATTCATTTTATGTCTTGTTTCTTTTTTAAGCTTATATTTGTTCCATACATTTTTCGAAGGATAGTTTTGAAATACCCTTACAACAGAGGCTATTAAACTACTCCACTAAGACTGGCAGAAACGTAAAACAAACGGCAGTTCCTACTAAAAATCTCCCATTGAAAAAAAGACAATTGTCTGCAGAAAGTGACGATAGATTAAGAAGACAGGCAAAAAGATATCGACAAACATTTATTGAGAGCTTTGTTAATATTTCGGGGCATTCCAGACAATTGTCAACTGCAGACCAGGACAAGGAGAATCAAAATTTGGAAACAGACACTCAAAATATATTGGTATCATCAGAAATAGAAACGTATGTACAAATT